TTTTTTTTTTTGCAGGTAGTTTTTGTTTCAGTTTGGATTTGACCAATTCGTAAAAAAACCCAAAAAAAAACAACTAATTAAGACATGCGTGTCAGTTAACCTTAAACAATAATCTTTGTCAATTTTATTTTTCAGTCTTTATGGTGGTCGATACTTGATCTATCTCTTACTGTTACATCCCCGGGCAGCGCCGGGCTCTACTGCTAGTCATTAATAGTATTATGCCAAGACTTCATTTTTTTTTAATTATAGAAGTTTTCTCCAAAGAAAAAGAAAACGATTTTTCTTCATTTATAAGGTGGAGGCTTATGAGCTTTGCGTTTTGTTATGAAATTATTGCGCTATATTTAATGAAGTGTTACCTTGATGCAGGTATTAGCAACCATTTTTGAACATTGGGCCTCATGATGTACAGTATTTTGTTTTTTAAAACGGACCGACCTCATGCACCACTGTTTGCAAAAGGTTTAAGCAGACAATTTTCAATTTTAAGTGACATATTGTGATATCAACTTCTTATTTTCCAGTTAGGTTTGTCTTTTCTTTTGCTTTTTTTCCTTCGGATGTGCTGTTGTTTTCTAAACAATATTAAAAATAAATAATATCTGAGAATAGATGCCGATAGCATTTCAATAAAAAAAAAGATTAATGAAAGGAGCCGACGCAAGAATTTCGATCTTTGTTTTGTCTACAAAATCTCAGTATCATTATCATATAAGCATGTTTATCTGTCACATGATTTCTCATCGTCCGGGCTTATAGCCATATTACATACAAACAACTGTTCTCGTACAATCATCGAAGTTAAGCAACGTTAAGCCTGGCCAGTAACTAGATGCGTGACCACTTGGAAATAAAAGCAGCTGTAAGCTTGAATGTGTGGAGGTGTGATCGATAACGGCTCTGAATTGGAAATTGTAGAACCGAGTTCCATTTTCATTTTGATTCGGTATATTTACATATGCGCAATTATCCTTGGGAAAGGTATAAATCTACTTCTTATCCCCCTGCCTATGGGTTAATTAGTAGGACTTGTATCAGCAAATCATTATTACTTTCCAAAGAATTCTTACAATCTAAAAATATTTCCTGTCTTTAAATAACCTGAAAAAGGTTAATAAATTGTAAAAAAGCAATCAATCTATTATACTAATCATCCCAACAACAATTATCTTTTGATATTTACGAAACTGAACTTGCATAATTTATTTATTTTACTAAGGTTTACATAATATATGGCCAATGAGCCACTCAAGATAGAGGGTTAGTGAATGAGGTGTGAGATATGAATGTAAGCAAGAAATGAATACGAAGATATGAGGATTTCACTCTGGATTTGGTTTGGTTTGTTTAACGGTATATCAACACTTTGTGGGTCATTAAATGCCAAAATTTTATTTTCTTGGGATTTTTTTTTTCTTGTCAAAAAATAATTTGATGGTATTTTTTTTTTTTTTTTTACTATGAAAAGGTATTGCTTCCAATTTTTTCTAATATATTTTCATTTTTTGACCCCCGGTTTGGGTGTTCATAATTTGCTCATACCTGAGAGCCTAATAGGTACTACCAATTTGAGCCAGGGTAACCTGGGAACAACGGCAATTAAGAGGTGGTTCCACGCTCCTGAAAATCTCCCGATCAGAAGCCTTGCTGCCGGATGTAGTTTATCATCATACCCCGAACGACTTGACCCTGGAATTAAAGTTATTACATTGTATCGTTCCGAGAATCACCCACACTGAAGCTTGTTCAACAAGATAGCAAGGGAAGAAGCTTTCGGAGTGGGGCGCCCTTCTTTCCAAAAGAATACATGGGAAATGAAGGTGATTTTAATCAACCCTGTGGGTGTATTTATGCAAGCTTATATATTTGTAACGCTTGATAAGGATGCAAGATTAAATCTATTTTCTTTAGATACGTAAAATAATTGTTCATTCATTTCTGGTCTCTATCAAATTCAAATTTCCACTTTATGCTGGCGTAGCCACCGACATTGTTTGGGAATCGATTTTCTATCCAGTGACTATATGATAGTTTTTAGATTAACCGTCCAAGACACCAAATACTTTTGGATTTTTGATGTAACATCAAGTACAAAACTGAATTTTGTTATCTCTTAGAGTGAGCCGTGTATTTGTCGGTTACTACCTCCTAATTGTCGAAACCGCTACTAGGGGACGCACTCAGGACTATAAATAATCTACGATAATTTTTTAATCACTCACTTCTCGCTTTTTTCCGCTTACACGTCAACATATAAATCTCTCACAGAGAAGACGTTCCCTTTTTGGAAACTCATGAATAACACACACACACACACACACACACACACACACACACACGTACGAATATTCACTCAATACACATATTTGCACCCAAAAAGTTTTCACATTCATTTGACACACACATTATTGTCTTGTCACTTGTAACCCTTTATTGTTAATAAATAAATTATCATTTGTTCGTACATATATACATATATCGGTTCTTGGAGTTTATTAACATTTACTTACGTGGACTCACGTCTTGAGTCTGCCAGGTTGAGGACATTTCAGGAAACACGTGTTTATCTCTCAATGCATACACCGACCCGCAACATATGTATTGGAATCACCACAGAACAAAAAATCTCTTAGATAAAAAAAAATCCTGATTGACATTAAATTAACAAAATAAAAATAAATCCTGATTGACATTAAATTAATATATGCTGGCATGAATCAAAGACTACATTTAAATGCTTAACTAGATCTCGTTACAAGAATGCTGGACATCGTGAAAGAAAACAAAATATCCTGGAAATGCAGTAAGGTTAACAGACAAAAATAAATAGAAACATTACGGAATTACAATTATTATGACAGACATGTATAGGAAAAATTTAGACGAAAGATGAAGCAAGGGAAACAGAAAGAGTAGAAAAGACAAAATAATAAGAAAAAAGACAAATCGAAGAGAAGTTAATAAATGAAGAGACAAAAATTGAAGCCCTTCAAAAGGATGAGAAAAAATACAGAAGACAAATAAAGAATATCATAAAAAAGACAAAACTAAGAGAATTAAATAAATGAAAAGACAAAAAATTAAACCCTTCAAAACTATAAAAGAAAATACATGACAAATAAAGAATATCATAAAAAAGACAAAACTAAGTGAACTGAATAAATGAAGAGACAAAAATTGAAGCCCTACAAACCGATAAGAGAAAATACAGATGAAAACAAATAAAGAACATCAGAAACAAGGCAGAACTAAGAGATATTCATCAAAACAATGAGAATGAAACCAATGCAACAGACTAAATGGAAAACGATGATAAACAAGACAAAACTAAGAGAAATAAATAAAACCGATAATGAACGCGTCGAAAACAAACAAATTAAAAATACGAGAAAAAAAAATAAACGTGGGAAAGAAATGAAAACCGTCAAGGACGAACAAATAAATGCAATAAAATACAATTTAAGAAAAAAGACTAAAAAAAAAAACAGTGAGACAAATTAGAATGATGAGAAACAAATCAAAGTGTAAGAAAGAAAAAGAAAATTACGAGAAACCATAAAATACTGACAGGAATAAACCGAAAATCAATATAAAACAAAGACAAATCCGAAAAAAAAAAGAAAAAAAAGAACGAAACAATAGAAAAAGTAAAAAGAAGCGAAAACGGGGCAATAAAAACGATGAGACACAAGACAAATGAACAAGATACAAAAGAGAAATGATATAAAACAAGACAAAATAATGGAAACGGAATCAAAACGATGAAACAAGGTAAGCGAAAGGGACAAATGAAAACGACGTGAGGCAAAAATAAAGAAAAACATGCAAATCAAGACGATAGATGAGAAAACAAATGCTAATCATACTTATTATGAAACCCAGGTTGTGTGTGTGTGTGTGTCTGTTCGTTTATATATTGGATCGGATTTCCTACATTTTTCAACCGATTTCGACAAAACTTCACAGGACTGTGTAAAATTACCTTGCGGTGGTTCTGACAGCGTCAAAAATTGGAAAAACACAATTGTTTTTGCACGAAATCAATTTGAAAACACGATTAAGAGGCATCGCTGTCGAGAATGAAAGGGGGACAACTCATATCGAGTTATACTTATTATAAAACCCACGTTGTTTGTGTGTGTGTGTGTGTGTGTGTGTTCGTTTATATATGGGATCGGATTTCCTACATTTTTCAACCGATTTCAACAAAACTTCACTTTTTTTTAGTAGGTAGTGTTTCTTATTATCTTGCACACTTTTTCTTTATTTTTACATTCAGAATGCTTTAAAAATTCCATTTACAAGACAATTGTTTATAATAAAATTCTATTCAATCGGTAGACTCATAACGATTGAAAACAATGCTTTTGTTTGAGTTTAGGTTTGACCAATTCGTAAAAAAAGCAAAAAACAAACAAAAACAAAAAAAAATCAATTAAGACATGCGTGTCCGTCAACCTTAAACAATAATCTTTGTCAATTTTATTTTTCAGTCTTTATGATGGTCGATACTTGATCTATCCCTTACTGTTACATCACGGGCAACGCCGGGCTCTACTGCTAGTTGTATTATAATTCTTTCCTCATGAGGAAACATTCATCAATAATTGACTGAGTAACCAATTTTTACCGTCGGTTGAAATTTACAAAAACTTTTTTTTAAAATAATTCCACTGTTATTGCCCTTTCCACGATTGATGGAATTTCCTTCCTAACCTTTTGTTTGAATTTGGGGAATACCAGCATCATGATTATGTTATTGTTTTCTCTTCGAATTGTGATATCCATCTTGGTTGTTGCTGCTGTCGATAATCCTCAGGTGATATGGTTCCTGTCCTCTCGTACAGTTCTTTGCGAATCGCCAGTTCGCAAGGTTCGAAGAAGGACACTCCTCGCTAAGACCTACAGATTTCACTCGCTCAAGGCAAAATATTCAGATATTCCTGGGATGAGTTTAGCTCCATGCTTGCCATTCTCAATCTTACCGGGCTGACAGACATACTACGTTGAAACACCGGTTCTAGTCCGATCACTGAAGTTAAGCAACGTCGAATCAGATCAGTACCTAGATGGGTGACTGCCTGGGAATACCAGATGCTGTAATCTTAGATGAGCGGACAGTTTAATGGATAACGACTCTGAATTGGAAATGGGGTTAGCCGAATTCGAATTCCCATCGAGTTCGTTATATTCACTTACGCGCAAATACCCTTCTTCCCCAACTATGGATTAATTAGTAGAATACGTGTCACTAAATCATTATTATCTCCATAAAATTCTTACAGTCTAAAATATTTTCTGTTCTTAAATATCCAAAGAAGCATCTGCAATGTTATTAGCTCTGACCTGGCATCTCGCCTTGAGTCACTTTCCCTCCAACGTAATGTAGCTTCCCCGTGACATTTCTATAAATACATTCATGGTAATTCTTCTGATGAACTTCCCATTATGGTACCTAAACTTTATGAATTTAATCGCAGAACAAGATTAGCGACAAGGTTTTGTCATCTTGCAGTGCAAATAGCTCGATGCAACCGTAAGTTCTATGCTAATAGTTTCTTCACTCGTAATTCTCACTTGTAGAAATCTCTTTCGGTTTCTTGCTTCTCAGTCAACTGATCTTCAATTTTTTTTTTGTTTCACTTTCATTAACCCCTTGAATCCTAGTGACAATTATTGAAATGATTTCAGGGAAATAATAATAAAAAAAAAACTGCTGTTAACAATCAGGAAAAGACAGATAAAAATGTGCGCATGCTTAGTGAGGGAAGAAAACTTGAGGGAACGGAACACTCATAGTACAAACTAAAATCAAGAAAAGCGAAGTAAACACTAATTTACTTCGCAAGTTTATGTAGATAAATGACAGGAAAAGACCACAGTGAGTGATAAAAGGACAAGAGTTAAAGTAACAAAACACAGGTTGCTGTGGAGAGCCGTGATCACTTAAGTTTTGAAAGGATATCTTTCTTTTTTTTTCATCAAGATTCACCCTGTACAGGACCCGGGACTCATTCGAGGTAGAATATTGAAACCCTTTAAAACGATAAGAGAAAATACAAAAGACTAACAAAGAACATCAGAAACAAAGCAGAACTAAGAGGAATCCATAAAAAAATGAGAAAGAAAGCCATGCAACAAACTAAATGAAAAAAAAAAAAACGATGAGAAAGAAGACAAAACTAAGAGAAATAAATAAAACCGATAATGAGGCAACTTGTGTAGATAAGAGTGGAAGATAACGGTTAACCCTAGACTTGACTACGTTAACATTGTAGTGATCGGGTAAATATTCTCTTGGGAGTCGGCTTCCCAGAGAAGTGGTTATCGGGAAGATGTTCGAGTGAAATTTACTTCTTACCGATGGAATATGGAGGGAGTGTGGGTGGTTGTTTAATCGCATGGCGTGTCCTTGGCGTGAAGTTTTGATCTGGCGGAACCAGGGAATGTAGTTAGTCCGAACACTTTCCGTGCAAGTAGCGATAGAGTCGTAAGAGTCTTGCCACATTCCGGTTCTGTACAGAGGTTGGATGGTGGAGAGACATTCGTCACTCACAAGTGATCGGAGACGCTTTTGGACTCTATCAAGGTCTGAGCAGGTCTTGCTTAAACTTGACAACAGTACATCATTTTTTGGCCTGATCTTGCTCTTGTAAAGGTAAAGGATAGAAGGAGAATTCAAGTACTTACTGAAGCGGTACAGGGAGCCGACCTTTTACCTGCATCTTTAGCAATGGATAGTATCTACGAGGAAAAACGGGGAAGGAAATCTAAATAAATTAGTATGAGTTAATTTGGAGTGAATGGCTTCGTGAATTAAAGTAAAAAGGGGATAGAATTTATGTATGTGTGTCAATACATGTGTGGGCGCATAATTACATTTATGTGTGGATGCGGGAACGTACATGCAGTTGTTTGTTTGTGTGTGTGTGTGTGTGTGTGTGTGTGTGTGTGTGTGTGCGTGTGTGTGTGCGTGTGTGATTTTGTTTGAATAAGAGTATGAGGTAAGCGTTACAGATTGACCTGATGGAATAGCGAATTTCTTTTTAGAAAGTCCTAATATAGGATAGATTTGCGTTGGATACGCGTGTAGGTTTAGTTAAAGATTAGCAGCATGACCCGGCGTTGCCCGTGCTTGATTCAAAAATACAGCAATCGCTATCACTTGACTTAAAATATTTTTGCCCTTCCTTGCCTTTAAAGGAGTGCCCTTTGCCGTGCTGGTATTGCTACATGCCTTACTTCTTGCCTATCTCACACTGCGAATTTTTTCTAAGCTCTATACTAAACATTAAATCTGTTACGAAAAAAGAACAAAACAAAATGAACACAAAAAGATCAGCTTTAAAAAAAGGACTCATAACTGGAAAAACCGAATGAAAAAAGAATGTTAACAAATACTTTTTCACACTCAACCCAGTTCTGCAGAATCAGAATCAACGTTGAGTTTAAGCAAGCGAATCAGACAATTGGAGTAAAGTGCCATGCAGATTTAAATTTTTCCCACTTGTGACGAATGCAGCTATCGATTTTTTTTTGCATGCTAGCATGCTAGTTAACATTCGTTTCAGTCAGCTGTTGGCTCTCACGCTGGCCAATAGAATATTTCTGCCTATTCGTGGCAGCCAGCTATAGGCTCTCCCAGTAGAAAATGGCCGCAAACTACATGAAAACTGTCGTAGAAGCATGAAAAAATCGATTATTTCCTCTATCGATGGGAGTTGGGAAATACAAAGTCGGTCTTGGCCTTCTCGCTAACTTGGAGCATGTGCATGTAAATTTTGGTGCAAATCCGTCGAAAATTGCGGCCGTGCATTCGTTACACACACACACACACACACACACACATCGTTCCTTTTATAGATAGAGATTTAGTATCGCTATGGGATTAGTATTTAATATGTAAAACATGGGCTTAAACAATTCAATAAAGACACCAGCTCACCTCTTCATGGATTCCGGAAGTAGTAAATCTAAACAGGATGAATTAAAAAGGTAACAGCATATAGTGGAGGAGCGTGAAAAGCCCTGTTTTCATTGGCTGACGTTGACTGACATATGTCAGTAAGAACGGTCGAAGCCCGGCCTTGCTAGTTTATGATGATTACTGTTTTTTGCAATGTCGCGGTGCGTAGCACGACGCTTTCAAGTAGGCGGCCTGACTCGTCTACAATCAGATCGGAGTTGCTGTTTGAGCCGATATGATGCGAAACCCAAAATCGGCGAAAAGAACAGTGCATCACTGAAGACCACTCTTGATGCATCTAAAAATTATGATTTAACCCCCCCAAAAAACGAGTTCCACTTGAGGTCCGGTGTAAGTTTGAGACCTAATAGTCTGTCAAGAGGACATCCGTTCATCGTGACTGGCGGTAGTTCGGGATCCGACCAGCGACGATGGAATGTAACTAGTTTGGTTTTTGAGGCATTAGAATATAACTGCCCAGTTTTTATCCCACTGGATAGTTTGTGCTAGATCGGAAGAGATATCAATCACCGACCATCAAGAATTTTAGAGGTGCGCCCGTATATTGTCCTTTCATCGTCAAAGATGCTTACAAATGATCTGAGTATATTCTCAGGCAGATCGTTTATGAAGATCAAAAAGTGGGTTGGTCCGAAGAATGACCGATGGGAGACGCCTGCGTTGACCCCCTAGGGCTCCATTAATCCACCATTAATAATTACCTTCAGGGTCCTAACTGTTTAGGAAGGATTTTATGATCAAAAAGACCCTTCCATAGATGGAGAGTTTGTGTAGTAAACCTTTGTGTCATACCTTGTCAAAGACCTTCGAGTTATCTAATGCTATGATCCTTGAGGCGTGTTTGTGGTCAAGAACCTCACTAATTCTGTAAGTGATGGTAGTTAGGACGTCGGCGATGGATCGGGATGGAAAACGAAGAAAGCGTCTAGGGTAGAAGGACAGTTCTGAATTTGAAAATCAGCCAAAAAACGAATCTGCTCCAACAGCCTACCTTACCCGAAACACACCTATCACTGCTACTGCTGCTGCTGCTGCTACAGCACTTCACATAGTGCCTCAACGACCCTCAGGTTACGAGATGGAAGAATAAAAGCAATTAATACTCTATTCTCTTTCCCTGGTGTTTTCTTTTTTACTTGGATTTGAATTCTTAATTTGTGATTATTATTAATCCAATATTTTAAATTTTAGTCATTTAATTTCTTCCTCAACGTTTTCCAAAATTTATTTTTTTTTATATTTTCTAAACATTGACTATTTTAAATTGAATTTGTTTTTTGTTTGTATTTTTTATTTTTTTTATTTTTTTGCTTTCAATTTCTCTTTTCATTCCCGAGTGGGAAACAATTCAGTAATTTTTATTTATCAAATTTTCACGTTTTCTTTCATTTCTTTTCTTTTCTTTTTTTTTTTATTTTATATTGTCCAAGTTTAATCACTGATTCAATTATTTTAAATTTACTTTTTCACACATATTTTTTTTTATATGTTTCTATTTTTCAAAGGTTTTAAGTGATTTTTTCCATCTGTAATTCTTTTTTAATAAATAATTTTTTCCAAAATTTATCTTTTGGGTTCTGAGTTGCTTCTATTCTTTTATTATTGATCATTAAATTTTTAATGGCAAAGAATTTTTAGAAGCATTTTTATTAGCTCAGATAAGACCGTTAAGTCATTATCGGTGAAAACCGATTTTCATGTCAAATATTAATATTATTATTATTATTATTATTAATTATAATAATAATAATAATAATAATAATAATAATAATAATAATGATAATAATATGTTTTGGGTGTTGTTTTCTCCCTAAATAATAATATTTTTAACAATCAAAATAACCACGAAATCCAAAAGCTATAAAATCTATTTTAACTCAACTTCATCTATATGCAAAAATAATGTTTTTATTCGTCTGTTTGTTTTTGCTTGTTTGCTTGTTTGTTTTTGTTTTGTTTGGTTTTTTGTTTTTTAAAAAAAAAAGAAAGAAAGAAAGAAATTCTTTAATTGAAATTTCGCATTCTGGCCAATAAATTTTAGATTTTTTTTTTTTTTCGAACGACTGCGGTTTTTTCATTAATAACAATAAATCATTTGGCAGCTTGTAGAAATCATA